CTGCCTGCTCCCCATCCCCTTATGAGAAAGTGTCTGCTGGTGATTGATATTGGAATGTACTCTCGTGTTCCCAGGTTCCAGACATTATAATTAGCTTTGACTATTTTCAATGTATTGCTTCTTTATATTATTTTTCAACATTGTTCCTTTGGATGTTGTCATCTGAATGGTGTGATTGATCTTGTTCTGTTAACCAGGATGCTGTAATCAATTGTGGTATTGTTTCTTTTTTGATAACACATGTAGCTTTCAATGCTCACTTACTCTTTTTGAAGTTACAATTAACCCATCAATTTTGCTTTCTGCTTCTGTCCATGCTTGCTTGAGTCCGAGGCAGGTGATAAATGAGTTTTTGTCTTTAAAGCTGGACTGAGAAGTCCACTCGGGGCTGCTCTGAGGGGAAACAACTTTAGTTTCTCAGTAGACCAGCTACACCGTTATGCAATCTTTTTAGAACCTCTAAATAGAAAGCTTGATTAACACTCTGACCTGGTGGAATGAACTTCAAATACACTATCCCCCTCACATCAAAAAAACAAATGAGCATAATTTTGAACTTTGATTTCACTTGATGAGCTTTTTTGGGTGAGTTGATGTGATGATGGTATCTTCCATTGGCTTGATTAATGTTTGCTTCCAGGGTCATTAGAATAGCACCATCTCTCCTCACAATAATGACTGTGGGATAAAAAATAAATAAATAAAAAAAATCTGGGCCACTTCAAAGCTGTTCTTTCAAAGCACAGTATGTTTCCACTTGGTGGTCTTTTTCCTGGTTAGTCAGAACCCAAGGTACAAATTTCACAGCAACCCTTCTCATTCCCAAATCTTCGGTTAAAATTTACTGAACCGAGTTCCAGGATAGCCCAATAACTTCGGTCATCTCTTCAATGGTCCTTCATTAGTCTTTCAGCATAAATGTATAAATTTTGTTGACATTTTTGCCCATTTGGGAAGTTGACAGAGGTCCAGAATGAGGTTTGTCATCAGTAGACATCTCACCTTTGAAACAAGACAACCACTCATAAGCCATTTCAAAACCAGGAAGAGAGAATCCCATGAGAAGGAAGAAGGAGGGCCCATGCTTGCCTGAGATACTTATATGAAGAAGCAGTGGCAGCAGAGAACATGAGGAAGGTGCCATGGCAACAGCCAAGACCATGGATGTGCCATCACACAGAATAAATAAAGCTAATGGCTTTGGGCAGGAGGCTGGCTTTCAGAGTAGAGTGCCTCTTGGGCACTTACAAGTGCTATAAGAACTTTGCAACATGTGCTGGACAAAGACAGAGGCCAAGGGATCATGTGGTTGAGAGGCTGAGACCCAGAGAAAGATGTGCATCTCAGCTGATGCTACAGACAAAAGGATTGCACCCTTAAAGTGTTTTGATCCTGGGTTGTAACTTGTTAACTTCCCTTATAAACCCTTTAATCTTGAGTATTTTTGGTGAGTTCTCTGTGGCCATTATAACAGATGATCAAACTAAGCAGAGAAATAAGAGTGTTGTGGTTAGGAGGGTAGTGTCAGAATACGGTAGAGAAATTTGATTGAGGGTGGAGGGATGTCTGATCTCTGCCTTATAGGACTAACCCTTGGGCAGATGTAGAGCTGCTTTCTCCTTTCCTCATTGTGTAGGTGGAGGAAGTCAGGCATGGCCCCACACCATTTTCTTCAATACTCTACACTATCTTGGGATATAAACTATGCCATACGTATATAAACATACAGCTATCCTCTGCCTTACCTATATACACTTGGGGGGAATACCATTTGCCTGACCACAACTTTCAGTTTGCATGGCTAATTTTTGGAATATGTTAATCCACTCCCTCCTCTTCTTCATAGTTTCTGCTGATAGGTCTTAGCATATTCTTATTTTGGAAACTTTATATGCGATTGCTTGTTTTTCCCTAGCTGCTCTCATGATTTTATCCTTTTCCTCAAAGTTGGATAG